GGAAACCTCTCCTGGATTCCTAACCATTGGAAACTGTGGGAGATGATGAATATTTGTTGTTTTGAGCTAAGTGTTACATAATTTGTTACTCAATCGTAAATAAATAATACATTTTCACAAGAGAGGATGTATTATTACATGTTAAATTGCATTTGCTCCAAATATATCATCATCATCATTATTATTTTTGAGACAAGGTCTCACTCTGTAACCCAGGCTGGAGTGCGGTGGCATGATCACCATGCACTGCAGTGTCGACCTCCTGGGCTCAAGGGACCTTCTGATCTCAGCCTCCTGAGTAGCTGGGACTACAGGCATGAACCACCATGACTGACTAATTTTCTAATATTTCTGTAGAGATGGGGGTTTTGCCCAGGCTGATCTTGAACTTCTGGAGTCAACAAATCTGCCTTCCCCTGCCTTCCACAGTGCTAGGATAGCAGGCGTGAGCCACCACATCTGGCCTAAAGAAATTATAAGATATTAAACATGTAATTTAGTTTTAAAAGGTAAGGAGAATTTCCATGGCCAAAGAGGATGTAGTTTAATATCTGTCTCTTATACACATCTAGATGTGTATAAGAGACAGACAAGTGACAGTGCGGTGGGGACTAAAGGGAGAGGAGGGTCTGAAGGATGAGAGGGACTGAAGGAAGGGTTGGAGAAGCAGGCGCTGAGGAAAAGGACCAGAGGAAAGAATTCGAAAGCAGCAGAATTCTTAGGTTTCAATACATTGTTTTATGGATTTTAATATATCCATCTACAGAGCCTAGCAGGGTGTCCTTGGCAGTTGGCCTTTAATACCTTATGTGGGTCTGCCTAAAAACTAATTGCTTTTATGTTAATCAGGTTTTAAAAATACTAAGTGTTCCTATAAAATATACACAACACTTAGAAATGGATACTTCCTAAAAACAGGCAGGGCATGAGCACTGGTGAGGGGCATTGTGACTGCATTGAACAGTTGCAACTGTGAGGTGAATAGTCTGTACTGTTTGCGGACATATAGTCTGCAAACTATATGTCTGCTTTTTGCAACATATAGTAACACAGTGTGCTAGTTTATACTGAGGAAATATCCTGGACTCACACAGAAACTCAGAGCTCTGGAATGATGGTACATTTAAAATACGACAAGCGGGAGTCACAGATACATTGTTTGCGAAAGTGAAATTTAGGAGCTTTGTGAGTCCTGTTGTAACGCTTTCGGACACATCTATAAATCAAGGGGCCAAAGTCACATTTTTTACCGATTAGATAGATTCCTGATCATTCGGGGGTTACCAAGATTCTACAACCCAATGTATTTAATAAACAAACAGCAAACTGATCTCTATTCTGTCTCATGCACTCAGGCGCAACTTTTCTAGATTTAAAAAGAAAAACAACAACAACCAAAAAGCAAACAAAAAGTCTCTATACCTTCATTCCCAGAGTAAGCTCAGTCTCTGGCACAAAGCTCCGTGGGGTGAGTTTTCTTCTAGAAGAGTCCTGGGGGACAGGTAAGGAGTGGGAGGCAGGGAGTCCAGTTCAGGGATGGAGATTCCGGGATGAAAAGTGAAGGCAGAGTGACAGGGCCCATGCCAGGGGTTCTCCCTGGTTTCTCAGACAGCTCCTGGGCCAAGACTCAGGGAAACAGTGAGACAGAGCGCTTGGCACAGGAGGAGCGGAGTCAGGGCGAAGTCCCAGGGCCCCAGGTGTGGCTCTCAGGGTCTCAGGCCCCGAAGGCGGTGTATGGATTGGGGAGTCCCAGCGTTGGGGATTCCCCATCTCGGCAGTTTCTCTTCTTCTGACAACCTGCGTCGTGTCCTTCTTCCGGAATACTCACGACGCGGACCCCGTTCTCACTCCCATTGGGTGTCGGGTTTCTAGAGACGCCAATCAGCGTCGCCGCGGTCCCGGTTCTAAAGTCCCCACTCACC